CCTTAAAAACGTCGCTGCATTGCTCCAAATAGTTGCTTCTCATCCATTTCAAATTCGAAGTTAGAATTTTAAAGAGGTTTAAAGCCAATTTTCGTCCCTCTACTTTCATATTTTATTCGTTCTTGTCCCTCTACTAAGGATTTGTTCGTTGTCGTCCCTCTAGTCCTTTTTTTGGTTCATTGTCATCCCTTCCCTGACGCCGTTTCTTGTTGCCGTCCACTGCACCGTTAAGTCCTAAACGGTCAGCAGTTAAATCCATTTGTTTTATTTTTTTTTTCACATGTGCTGCCACTTGTGCAAGCATGGGGACCACTTTGCCCACTTTTTGAGACATCACCTGCAAGATTGCCTTGGCGCCAGCCACACCACCTGTTGCCTGAGCTGGGAATATGATCGCCATGGACAGGAGGGAAAGTCCGGCCTGAGGCCGGTGGAGTAGAAGAAGGCGATGGAGGTGGGATTGAAGCTGGCTCCTCCAAACAGAGTGCCTACTAAGCTGAAATCGAGCACCATGAGAGTGACGAGATTGATGGTGATGAGCAGATCAGCAAGGAGTATGGCTTGAACGCCGAGGTAGGTTGCTATGATTCCTGTGAAAATCCTCAGTAGCGGCATGCTGAAGACCCACATGGAAGTGAGGACTGCATCTCCAATAGCGGACCTTATCACCCCCATCTCCGATCTTCCTCTATACTTTTGATGTGTTGAGGGATTTCCTTTTCTTCTGTTACTGTAGATGTGGTGGTTGCAGGAATTCAGCACAAAAATCGTGAATAAAGAATTTTTGAGTTTGTTTCAAAATAAACAAAAACAAAAAGATGCCACCGGTGTGGTTCTTTTCTCTTTTTTTTTTTTTTTTTTGAAAATAGACAATGCACCGGCGTCGTTCTTGCCACACCATGTTTTGTCAATCGTCACACAAATAATATATTTTAAATGTTTTCTTTTTGCAATATATAGTGGAGCTCGAAACTTCACATCTCTGTAAAATTAAAAATGTTTTTAATAAAGTATAAGTGATTATTGGATCATGAGAACTTCTCAATATGTTTTTTT